CCGTTTGCAAGATTGCATGTAACGCCAACATTTAGCAGTCAAGCCATATAATTACCAATACACACATGTGTATACAAAATTATGTATATATATATACGTAAATGTATATAATAAGTTACATACACAAATGTTGTTACAACTCTGCACACTTCCGCTTAAAACCTTTGACTTCCGCTTTGTAGGGTCGTTAAAATATATGCAACAAGCAAAAGAAATCGCCGGGCAACAAATATTCAAAATTTTTCCATTGCATGTGACACGCATATGCAAATTTCGTGCACAATTTTCATTTTATATTGTTGCGTTCAAAAACAAAAAACAAAAAAATGGAATGAAAGAAAGATGATGTTGATATGTGCGCATTTAAAAGTATGACGCCAATATTGAATCTGCTAGCTGCTCGGGCGGCAAGTACGTATCGGCCGTAAAAAGTAATCAATTTTTCATTTACGCTTAATAAAGAATGCAGCAGAGGCAATTTATGTTGTGAGCCATATAATAGCGACCACGAGCCAGCAAGCAATACCCGCCCATGTCAATAATGTATTGGAGCAATGTCGAAAGTTAGCCAGCGCTTAAATGACAGCAACCAAAATCTGGTTATGTTGCAATCAATCATGGCTGCTGCCAGTGTCAGTTCCAGGCTCACACCAATCCAGCCTGTGATGCATCGTCAGCGGTAATTGGAAATAGGTGGTGTTGCGATTGTGTGGTCAGCGCCAGCTCGTGCCACACCGCTGTATTGTGGTTTCAAGTTGCAAACTGCAAAAGTTTCGCATGACATGCTGCGTTGTGCTCTCATTTATGTTGATGGCTTCATTAGCGTATGAATTGTATTTGAATAATGTGCATTCACTAAATAGCCAACAACCGTTTGACAGCTCAAAGATAATAAATATTGGCCATAAATAATAAACATAAATACATATAAATAATTAAATTATATATAAATACTTACAGCTTTCATCTTTTCAATTTAGACATTTAGACACTTAATTTTTTGGGACGCTGGCATTTAAATTACCTGTTGCAAGGGATAAACTCTGTCAGTGTTGGTAGACTTCTGCAATCCAGTCACAGCTTTAGCAAATTATGCCCATAAATTATTTGGCTTCGGCTGAGTGGGTCATTGAAAAATTCCATTACCGTTAATGCCAACGCGCCTGTCGCCGAGAATGTCACAAACATGAAATTTAATAATTCTAATTTGTTAAATTTATGAACTTTATTACTTGTTTAATAGACATAAATGCTGTGCGGCTGATGCCAGTGTGCCGCGAGGTTCGCATTGTTCTGAATCCATCGTTCCAGAACCAGGAACTACCCTGAACCACAACACCACAATGCTTTGGCAACAGCAGGCAACCAAATAGGTACATCCGTACATAGAGCAAATGTTTTGATTTAGACCACGGCATTTTTGTGCACTAACGTTAATGTTTATCAAACAATGTTCGCATAAGAATTGAGTGATTTTATTCTAATTAATTTTCAATTTAAATTAATTAATAATAATAATTAATAATGATTAATTTTATTCGGTGACAGCAAGATAAATATCAATGTTGAAGCATAGATGCAATTAGATAAAACATTTATCTCTATTTCTATATTAACATCAAAACGAATTAAAAATTATGTTCAAATTAGTTTATTTTTTATTTTTACTTTTCACTTGCGAGTACCAAGAGTATTTTAACTTCGGCTTTAATATTGTAAGTACATTTTTTCACATATTTTTTTGGGTCGCATTTCATGACGTTCTCCGCAGTGGGGATATATATAAATATATAAATTTTTTGTTTTGTAACGCGACTTTGCGGCGCACTTGGAGCTTGGGAGAGTCCGTAGTTGACTACGTGCGGAAATGTCTCTAAATTGTGTGTAAAAATTTTAGCTGCTCGTTATTTGTTTTGTTTTCTCTTTGTGCGCTGCTGACACCATATGGCCCCTGCAGATAAGGCTAAGTAATTGATGGACACTGTGAGAGTCAAATGCAAACCAAAATGGTTTTCTATATAAAAGTATATAAATAAATACATATGTATGGAATATTAAATAAAGGTAGGATGCCAAAGCTGACTTTCTTTATCATACTTTTTTTTATTGCGTTTAAATTAAGTCAACTGACTTTAAGACTTTTATAGCCACAAGTTACGGCCAATCGTTAATATAAGCAACAACTGAGGTTTGTGCTTGCCTTATTCGGTTGCAGTTTCGGTCAGAGTTAGGCTATGAAATTGAGACATGTTCCTTGACTACATTTTGCGGCTTACTCAAACGGCACAGTTTTGATGATGAAACAGGGGTGAGGGTGCATCGTGCTGGCCAAGTCCTCCGATTCATGTACTGTAACATGCCGACTTTGTTTGCTTAAAACTTATCAAGGCCATTCCAAGAGACTGGGCCAAAAGGAGGCACTGCCCACAGCAAACAGAGCAGTGAAACGCTTGAAGCTGCATTTATCTGGCTCATCTTAGTGCATATAGCCAACTTTTATAGCATCTGTCGATTTTGTGTGCTCTCTACACACAGTCCAGACCCAAATGCATTCTCTGTATATGTGTACATGTGTATGTTCTGTGCCTGTGTGTGTTCTCATAGGATGAGGTTTGCTGGTCATTTCACTTGATTGGGCAATTTGCAACTGGGCATTGTCTAAGCGCCTACAAGCTGATAGCTAAATTAACTGGCACACATCGCATTTTGTGTTTTTGGTTTTGGCTTATGCGCCAGCCCAATACTCATAAGAAATCAGAAAAGTGAAGTTGAAAACCCTATTTGAAGGTTGAGCATGCTCCATTTGGGCTTTTGTGTGTTTTCGATAGATTGTCAAAGTTTCCAACAACATGCACTCGTAAGTCCCCTATGCCAAATATTATATGGTGATTCAAAAATGTATGGAAAAATATATACTTTTAAGGCATACTTTTAAAACCATACGATTTTATTATGTGCAAATTATTATAAACAAAACCTAGAAAAACATTTTTGACCAACGTTTCCTCAAATCGAACCATGTTAACATTGCTCTTTTGAATCCTCGTATGGTATACATTTTATAATTTGACAGGCTCCTTCATAACAAGATTTGTTGCCCATCTGATCACAGCTTGGCAAATGATTAATCAGCTCAATGAATCAGATTATGATATAAATGAAATATTCTTCTATATATTTAATATTAAAGCCACAAAAGTTTTGGGCAAAACCATAAATTCCAACTGAGTTATGTAAGTGCGCATAGTAAATGGAATATATGTATATAAGGACTATCCATGGTTATGCCCAGGCTCAACTAAAAGCTGTCAACAAGGGCAAAATACAATAAATATACGCTGCTTATGATTAATGATTTACGCAAACAAGTAAAAAAAAAAATGTGCAGGAGAAAAAAAGTACCTAAACTGTGAGAGCAGCTTGTGCGCCTAAAAGCAGCCAACATTCAACGTCAACAGCCAAGGGCTATGGGGCTGCGGCTTTCAGTTTGTTTGGCTTTACAGGCAGCGTAGCGTGTATTAAGGGAATTAAAATGTTATTATATAAAATAAAAGTGAGGGCCAGGACAAAAGAGCTGCGACGAGTTGCAAGAGGCTTTCACTGGGGTGCCAAGTGGCTGGCATTGGGGCTAGCCACTGATCCTGGATAACGATGCGATAATCACACCCAGCACAGGCTGAACAGTCAACATACCTACTATATGACTGACGGACAGACAGACGAACAGTCAGTTGAACAGACAGACAAACAGGCAGGTGACTTGTACATAATTCTCAATTTTTACTTTTCTCGTCCTTTGCGAAGAACTTAATTTTACGCTTTTGCATTCTCTGTTAACGTAAATAACCAGGGGTCACAGTGGCAAGGACGTCCCCCCATGCGACAAAACCAAATGGAATTTGCGAAATTTACTTGCTTAAATGGAAAGCCACCCAACAACCTTTGGAGCTGATCCAATTTTAATAAGTTTGCCTGCTGCTTGGCAGCCACTCAGAGCATTAAAGCGTATACCTTTACGTACTCAATTTAAATTTAATACGCAAACATTCAATTTGAGTATAGCATTGATCGATTGCGAATACACGCATGTGACTTGGATCCCAGCATAAGGTCAAGTCAATTTATGTGACCATTGAGTGTACAAATAAAGATGAAAAACTGACCATTATGCGTATGAGTGCTAAGCAGCAAATATTGCTGTTACCAGACGGATGCGAAAACCAACACTTATCCCAAATAAACAAGTAAGAATGCTGCACTAAAGTAAACTCGACTACGATATACCCTGAGTCCTACTGTTAAATATTTTCTTGTTTATTGCCAAGTATCCCTTTAAAAGTTTTGTGGAGAATTGCTACAACTTTAACTATAAAGTGGATGTTTCTTAACCGATCTTGACGAGTTGGTAAAAAATATGCCTATGCATATTATATATTAAATAGAAGTCAGTGCCTCTTAAAATTGTGCATTTTATTGCTATCGGAAATCTGAATAAATCGAAACGGAGGAAGCTGTTGACAAAATATAAAAAAAAAACTTATCTGAGCGGGCTAAGCGAGAACTTATATTCCGTACTTGAAGTCTCCAGGTCATGTATAGGCGGTTGATCCTGATTAAGAATATATGCACTTTATGGGGTCGGAGATACTTCTGACTGTTACACTTGCACGTTTACACAAAACCATTAAACCCCTTTTCCCCTTTTTCAACGGGTCCACGGTATAAAAATGTGTTTGGCATGTTATTTCTTAATTTGCATAACACAATTCATTGGCAATTGGCTTTGAAGAGCATGCTCTAGATATACGCTAACAAATGGATTAGCTCTCATATTCTGATAGGGAAAATAAGAAAATAAGGGTCTAGGTAATTATATCAGTAAAGCTTTCAGCTTGATTAAAGACAGGTTCGCAAGAATATTTAACTATATAAGAATGTTTAATTTTAATTAATTAAATCTCAGGTACCATCTAAGTGATATTAGTGATGTATCTTTTGAATAATATTTTTATAATTTTTAATTTCTTTTGTTAATATTTTTTACATCATCCACTCAAGCCATTGTGCGCAGAAACATAAACAGCTGATAGGAAAACTTTAAGATCTGTGGAAAAAAAATATATGTTGATATTGAAAGTAAATTCTACGCCTACGTACCGCCATATAGGTAATCATAGAAACGGGCATGAATTTGTAGGCACGCAGCTCTTGAGTCTCACAAGAGCGCATGATGAAGAAGAGCATCATCTTTCTATAGTTCAAATCGCCCTCGTACCAATTGTTGTAGAAGGCAGCCGGCAGCAATTGGTTGCTCTGCAATAAAATGCTTGATGTTGTATTTGTCATCGATTTGAAATTGAGTAGAACTTACCGCAGAAGTTAATTGGTCACCATTGTAGCAGATGAAGAATGTAAGGATCAAAAAGGCTACCAGCCCCACAGAGTATTTACAGGCCATGAACACATTGAACATGACCATGGAATAGGCCATCACGCAGATGGCAATCGTAGATGTTGCAAAATTGATCAGGATCACAAAATTAAAAGCGCGATTTATTTTCCTGGTAATGCTCAACAATCGGATGTGATACGCAATCAACGCCTTAAGCTGATCATTCGCTCCTGGTTGACCAGCACCCAAGGCACCAAAACCACTGGCAAGGGCATCAAAATGCAGCTGAATTTGTGTAACGAAAACGCAAAGCAAAAACTGACTAACTGTCATGAAAACGACAGCCATGATTGAGGATACCACCTGGCACAGATACGCTACCATAAAGCTCACAAGTGAATCCGGATTGGTCAGCAACTGCCAGGGATACCAGGTATTGCTCTGGTATTTGTATCTGAAGTGCTGTGACTCCATCAGTAGCTCGTACACTAACACTATAATAGGCAATGCATTGTAATAGCTACAAGCGAAAGTGAAGTAAATGGCTATATATCTCATTAGGCGTGTCGACTTCTCATAGTAGTAATCAATGCGATATTGCCGCGTCTGTCTAGGGTAGAGCTGTTGGAGTTCGGCCAGAATGGACTCAATATCGCTGCGATGTTGCACCAGCATCCACATATTAGAGATTCCAAAGAGCATAATGCCCATTATACTGCAGGTTTCCGATAGCTGTCCCACGACGCCACCCGGCTGCTCCTCCCACGAGTCGACCAGGAACAGATAGATGACCATGCCCAGCATTTGATAGATCATATTCACCGCACTAAAGAGAAACCATAGACGCTGCAGCGGAGTCTCTTCGTCACGTGACCCCTTTCTTCCCCTCCACTCGTAGCGCTGCATCCTGACTAATCGGCAGCCAACATCCGTATAATGCATGAAGTTCTGCAGTTGCATATTGCTCCACTTTGAATGTGGGGCACTTAGCATGGGACTGGCTTTTATACAAGCGCAGAACGGCGGCATTTGTGACTAATCAAAGGGCTCGTTAACCAATTTTCTTTGTGCAATTTGGTCGAGCTCCCAAGTTATATAAATGACAATATTTAATAAGCTCCTGGGAATATGCATCTGATCAATTAGGTTTAATATTCAAAACCATTATATTAAAGTTAATAAATGGCTAAATGCAACACAGCTGCCCGCCGTAAACGGTTCTCACAAAAATACCCTTTTCTTTTTTTTATTATCAATTTTCTTCTTTTTTTTGCAACTTGTCCCATTTTCGTGAACTTTTAGCCAAGGCTGCAAACACTTTAAATATTAATATAAAAAGCCGAAACCGAAGTACTTTTAAATATTTAATATTTCTATTTGCTCTTTGGTAAGTGTTCAAGTTTCATCTCTCGTAAAAAATTGCAAAAGTTCTGAGAGCTCTGCGCAGATTTATCACCGCTGTTGCTGTTGCTTTTTGCGGTGGCTAAAGTTAGGCATTTGGCATAATAGGAATGTAACTGGTCGTCATCATTTTGGCCTGGAAAAAGGTGGCCTTCTAGTGTGTACATATTGTGAGTCCCTTAAGTGGGTCTGCACTTGTGCAGCATTAACCACTAAACAAGTGCTGACTTTAACCTTTTCAAAATTGGTAAAAGCTCCGTAAAAGCATCAGCAAAAAAAAAAAAAAAACCAAAACGAACAGAAAACCTTTTCAGATAAAATTCTTAGCTGCTTTGAAACCAAGTTCAAGCTAATTGGCTAACTTAAGTTAACTAATTGAATGTCGTACTTAGCATTGATGATTTAATTAAGCAGCTATTTTAATTGTTTTTTTCTTAGGCATATGAAAATGTGGCGTGTGTGGCAAGTGAGGCAAGTTTAGCACTGTTTCTATTCAAGTGATCAGGTGTGTGTTTGAAAATATGTTGTGCGTTTGTATATTTTCTTTCCGGGACTGAAAGCACTGAGAAGCTTGTGACAAGCAAATAACGAAGACAGTCGTTTGTTTATTTCTTTTATATTTGTGTCAACCTCATAATGTGATGCCTTTAAGCCGGCTATCAGTCTTTTATATTTTGTTCGCTCCTGTTGCCAGCAGCGCTGTCTGGCATCATTGTACGTCTATTTCTTTGAATGTGCATGTGTGTGTGTGTGTATTTGTGTGCACTCCATTTCCGCCGGAAGCTTTGCGGCAAACAGAGAGTTTCGGTGCGTACTCGTGTATGTATCGTACTTACCGCTTGATGCCTTGTTTATTTCTTTGTTTATGGCCATTCTTGTTTTTATGGTCGTCTTCTTTCTTGTTCGTCCCACCGCAACTTTCTGATTGTCGCTTTTATATTTATGTGGTTTGTACGGTCGCGCCTCATATGGCAAGTCTATGTATACATATACTCAATTGGAGGAGAGAGGTAGGGGTCCATGTCTATGAATGTGCCTCTGCTTGGTCCCTTTTCTTTATGGCTAGGTTATTGTGCTTCTTTATCCTTGTGAATTCGTTAGCGTTTATTGTTTGTTTTTTTTTCGCGTCACCTTTTGTCGTTGGTTGTGGTAATTAAACTTTGATTGCTTTCAAATTGTTTTTATTGATTGGCAGATTTTACTTCGATTTTAGCAGAACGCGTCCTTCTCCTCAGCCAAAATTCTGATAGACATTTTCACTGGAAATTCAGTTGGCATATTTCAGTTGCAGGCATTTGTTGCTGTCATTCAAACTGATAATTGAGCTAACAAGTTATCGCAATCAGTAAATAAACTGCAGAATTTTTAATTTGCAAAAAAAAAAAATAAATAACATGTTGTGATGCTATTCAAATTGGATTATTGAATCGAAAATAAAATAGAATGCCATACAAAATTACAAAGCAATTCATTAAATATATACAACTATTATTGTCTATATAATTGCACAATTTGCTCCAAAATGCGCTTTAAATGTTATTTAGTCAGTTGGAATGTTTATTATTTTTATAAATGAATTGAACACTTTGATAATAATTTGAACGTTGTTTGAAGTTATATGTAAAACAATTATTATAGAAGTACTTCCGGCCCGACAGCTTTTAGTAAATATATTCAATTGACTTTTTGTGGCAGCTGCAATTTTCGCATTATCTGCAAATGAAACGATGCTTTCAGCTACTTTGAACGCCATTTGGCCGACAATTTGGGCTCAGCGTGTGCATGTTCAAGTCGAAGACAAACAAAGCACAGAAAACTTGGCAGCGGCCACAATGTTATCCTGGCGGCAAATAGACTTGCCCCATAGATAGATGTTGAGTGTGGCACGTACACAACGCCAATTGTCAGGACTCAACTCAAACGCAAACTCAAATCGAGCGGCAGCTGCGCGAAATAGACAATCTGAATTATAACCGAGTAAAGGCAGCCGGCATAATGGCGATTGAAGGAGGCGGGAGTGTGAGTAATAGTTTTGGCTGGCAGCGCGTCCGGCTGGAATTTATGGACAGAGTTTTGCCAAGTGGCCCAACGCTGGTACTCACTTTGAATACTTGGCAGCTGGATACCAACGGTAGCGGCATTCATCTTGGCCACTGACAACTGTAAAGAAGTGGGTCTAACTGTTGGATTTATCGATCTGGGTCTTTTAAACTAATTAGGCTTTGGGCAACATCCAAGCGCACCCATGGCTAACATATGCTGCTAATTTACGGAAAATTTCAAGAATTAACGTGCTTGTTTTGTCAGCCGCAGCATAAATAAAGCCAAAATACTAAGATTGGGGTACGTTGAGCTGGCCGGCCAGTAAACTTATGACCCGTCCCAGACCTGGGTCAGCAGCTATAAATTTAAGCCAAACTAAATTTCAAGCGGCAACTTTTGTTCGCGTTGTTTACAACATTGCTCTTGTTCGCTAGCAGCTTCTGCAGCCCTATCTCTTTTTCTCAATATACACAAGTAGTCGGCTGGGAAAATTTATGTGCATCGCCAATGAAAATTAAACGTTTCAACAGTTTACGAGAAGCACAGCTGCTCTTACATCCAACTTGGTCACTATTCTGAACTGCATCTACGAAAATAGTGTGAAAAATAGTTTTTGCTGACGCTTGAGAAAAATTAAATTAAGATTAATTCACCCATTATACAGTGGAATTTATTTGTTTTGTTAGATACTATTTGCATTAGAGTAACAGCTTAGTTGAATCACATACACTTGTTTTTAACTAGTCCATTTTCTGTTTATCCCTTTATTTCCAAGAATCAGTCAGAAATATTCCCATTTAATTTTTACAGACTTAAAGTATTAAAATGACGAATCAATAAATCGTCTGCCAATCCATCATTTTAAGGACTACTCAAGTTGTTCACAAAAATGCTTCTGATGCTGACGAATTGGAAAATGCAAAGCAAAAATCGTTCATGCAGTCAAGATATAAGGACTTTTTATGGCAAGGAAATTGTGCCGAGTAACAACGGCTGATGCGTTTTTCGTCTCAACAAAAACTTTCCAACCCAATGATTTCGAGATTGTTCCATAATGCTTTAATGCCATTCAATAATATTCGTCTTCACAAACCCAAACCAATATTTCGAGACATCCTCAATGCTTAACTGACAACGGTTTAACAAAAAAGAAAAGTATTGATAGTTTTGTCATCGCTGATGGGCTGCAGTAAAATTAAGAACAAAAGCCATTGTTTTTCAATTATTATGCCGAGAACTATGCAATGTTTTTGTGTAATTCTTGCCTTTAAGCTGAAGCGTAAAAGTATGCACATATTTCAGCATTTTTATATAAATTACTCTCTCTCATTACCAAGAAAACAACCAAATTTCAGTTGGTAAGCATATGAACCAAAAAAAACAGAGAGAACATATGAACAGCAACAGTCAGCCCAGCAAGAAGATGACGAACCAGGCAACTTATTAGTGCTTGGTCAATAAACCATAGATTTTTTAATATCAGGCTGTGAGCACAACTCACTCAATGAATTGTTTACAAGCGAAACAACAATGCGAAAAGACCGTGTTTGTAAAATGAGTAAATATATAACGAACAGAAAGAGAGAATTTTAGTTTCACTCTTGCTGTCCTATGATTCACCACTTATCGTTTGCTAGATAGAAAACTACTCTCAGAGAATTTAAGACTCGTACTTGCCGGCTGTTGCTTTAGTTCTGCTGAGCGTTTTAGCTGTTGAACACATCACGCGCGCGCTAAAAAAGTAATATATACAAACATCAATATTTATATAAACATAAATTCATTCATTCTGTTGTGGCACTTAGTTATTTCATTAAATAAATTATTAATATATACAATTTATTATGTGTCGTTGGTCCCATTTCATTTCATTCATTTTCATCGCAATCATAGTCATCGACTAACTGGAATGCGTATTACATTACATTTATGACTCTTATCGCTTTTTGATGATTTTCTTGTGGATATAAAGGTTATTGTTATGTTTGCAGCTTAACCGAATCTAAAAATAAAATATGACAGATATGTTAAGTCGCGACTCCCATTTTGAGATTAATAAAACTTATTTTAGCAAATCTTCTGAAGTTATTGTTGACTTTGCCAAGCACTATGAACGACTGGGGACATTACCGCAAGAGGACAAAAACATATTCTGGAAAGCGTATATCGATGCACTTAAATCGAATATCAATCTAAACAGTATTGTATTAAAACATATTTCACATACGTCGGATAACGATCATGGGCATATATTCACTATGCTTGTACTTGCAATTCAAAATATAGGCAGTATTAAATTCTTGGATATTAATATGAAAGGTGAGATTTATTTTTATTATTTAACGACTCATACTTATTTATTGATCACACATCAATATCGAAGTAGATATACATACAAATATAATGTATATAATATATACATTTTATTTTTAGGCTACCCCCTTGACAGCTTCCAAGACTTCCGAAATCTTACGCATCTATGTTTAAATGTGAAAATGGACGCTCTGAAATTGGCTGAATACTGCAAGACAAACCCTAACTTGATCAGTTTAAAATTTATGAATAGCGAAATATGCGGAAAGTTGAGTGACATTCTGCCATATTGTAATAATTTGCAAACACTTGCATTTATGGTCAAGAGTGACTTTGACAATTCTGAATACATATCGTTAGCTCAATTGCCAAAATTATGTGATTTACATATTGAAGGGGAACACAAACCTGGTTCTCTAAACACACTAATCAAAGCATTGGCAAGAAAAGAACCAAAAACTCTTTCCAAACTTGTGATAGGTGAAGCGTCTATTGATTGTGCTGAGATTGCAGAAGTCTTAAAAATACATTCCTTAGAGGAATGCCAATTCAGTGGAATCGCAGGCAATCACTCAATAATTTTTGCCCCAAACTCTGCACAATTGACGTTGTGCTTTAAAACCGATATTGATATTATCGACTTGGCTGATCTCGTAAGTTTGGTCGATTTCACTTCCTTACTTATTGTTGGAACTCCCAGGAGCGGCACTTTAAAGACACTATTTAAGACAATTTGTTCACAAACATCGCCGAAGTTAAAAGAGTTGAAATTTACGACATTTGAAAGTTTTAACAAAGATGTGGATGTTAAGAAATCTAATCAGTACCATGATACTGCATTTTCAAACTCATTCAACAAATTTGCTTTCCTAAATAATGAAGAGGTAATTGAGATTATAAAAATTAAATCACTAAGAGTTGCAGAGTTGCAAATCGGAGATGCGCAAACTATTGAAGATCCATCACAATTATCAAAAATTGAGGAATTATACATAAGAAAGAGCGAAGGAGGATCTCTGAAAAATCTTTTCAAAGCATTTGCAATGCAAGATTCTTCAAAGCTTACAATATTGACCATCAGCGGATTCCCTCTTGATTCCGAAGAGATTTTGGAAATTGCACAAATTAAATCACTAACTCAATTGGAATGTGGATTTTCGGATTTGAAAAGCATTAATCTCTTGACACAACTGAGACAACTAGAATTGCTTTGTATAAGCTCTGAACATCCGCTTACGGACATTTCTGAAGCAGTTTTAATGCTTTATGTTGCTTTTAATGGAGATATCAGTATATGTTCTGCCGAAAGCCGCGTAAATATGAATAAACATTTAAGAGCGCTATTCTTAACAATGTCGAACAATATAAATTCTTCAGTATTCGTACCACTGTCAAATTTGCCCAATTTGTCGAATCTTATCATATACGGAAGTCATGGGATCAACTCACTGATGCCACTGCTTGAAGCATTTGCCTCTAAACAATCTACGGTTCTTCAAGAACTATCTATTGAAATGGATGCCATAAGTTATGAAGAAGCTTCGCAAATTGCTAGAATAAAAACCTTAAGGCATTTAGACTGTGGATTCTCTGATCCCAAAAGCATTAAGCTCTTGCGATATTTGCCCAAGCTTGAATCATTAATAATAAATTCGATGCATGATCTGCATGAAATTGGAGCCGGTGTTTTAAACGTTCTAACGGAATGTGCAAATGAAGTAACAGTTATTCGATTTGGAAGACAGATCACTTTCAATAAGAGCCTTGGAAAACTCATCATTTCGAACATTTCTTACGACAATGAAGTCTTCGACGCTGAGGAATATGCTTTGCTTGCTGAACTATCAGACTTGAATACTTTGCACATAATAGGAGAACACAAGAGTGGGTCGTTCAAATATCTATTCAAGGCACTTGCTGCTAAGAAACATTCAACTCTCCAGGAATTAATCGTAGAAGCCAAAAGCAATCATAAAAAAACCTCAATTGATTTGGAAGAAACTGCAGAAGTAGTCAAAATATCGACCCTCAATAAACTTAAGTGTGGCTTTTCAGATGGAGAATGCATTGATTTCTTAGCGCAACTAAGAGACCTTCAAGAGCTTGTCATTACAACAAATCCAGATGGTGCTCTAGTACACCTACTCCATAAGCAGGCTTCACGAAAATCGTCGAAACTTCAATGCCTGTCTCTAGAAAACAAAACACTGTCACCTGAAGAAACTGTCCAGGTTGCAAGTGTTAATTCATTGAGAAAGCTCGCCTTTGGATTTCTCGACGGGCGGAATGTAGAATTAATAGTCGGATTGAATAAATTGGAAGAACTGACTATTGCACTATATGAAGGTACCTCAATATCACTTCTTTTTCAGACATTGGCTTCCTCAACAACACTGCAATACTTGAATATAGAAAATGTTCCCATATCATACGAGGAGACAATGGCTGTTATTGAAATTAAAACCTTAAAGCGCTTGAATTGCGAATTCACAAACATAAATAGCATAGAACTTTTAGACCAATTGCCTGAACTACATCAACTCGCCATTACATTCCAGCATAATGATAATGAGATCATTGAAACTATAGCGCAATTAAAAAAATTAACGGATCTTGAAATTACATCACCAAAAATCGGGTGCTTGGCACAGCTGTTTAAAAAGTTATCATTGAGATTGGAACCGACTCTGCAAAGCGTGGTAATCAAAAATAACGACAGCAACTTAAAAGAGATGGAACAAATTGTAAAATTGAACTCACTTCGAAGACTACAGTGTGGCATATTCGAAGAAGAAAACTTGTCATATTTAATACATTTAAGGAATCTAGAAGTGCTGGAAATAACATCCTATCATAACTTGGAAGATATTTCCAACTACCTGTTAATGATTTTACAAGAGTGTTACAAACTAAAAACTATAGGTTTCCATTATTGCACTCGATATGTCAGTATTAAGCTCTTCAGTGATATTATGAGGATCCTTAAAGAAGTAAGAAACGCCAATAAGCAACCTCCATTACTGTTACGAATCCCATACTTTGGAGGTTTGACTCCGGAGCAAGTGAGTATATATAAGAAATACTTGGATACTTTATTTAAATTTACATTTTATATTTCAGATGACTATAGCTGATGACAAATATTTGATTATATCTAGATTTACTGAAGACTCACAGTCTTGCTAGTTTACAAGGCAGAAATAGTGTTTAAATTAAGTGAAAATGTTAGAGTTAAGCATTTTCTTGAGTTCTATGCATACCAATATATTTTCACTTAATTTTTTTATATTTTTTTTTATTGACATAAATGCCTGGCTAAACCAAATTACATAATAAGCCTTTGAACATTTGCAAAGTTATCAGGAGCAAAAACGGAACTGTCGCCAAGAACCTTTCTCCCTTCCACACAAAATACCTCAATCCCAACTAAGGAAACTCTCCAGTTTTTGGTGTTTTGTGCGAAATGAATTCAATTAAACTAATTCAACGGATAAAAAGAGCCGAAAAACAATTGGAGCAGGCAAAAGCAAAAGCCAAAGCCAACATTTTTGTTAAGGAAAGGGGAAAAAGGGAGACGACCAAACTAATTTGTGCACCTTTGGAATCGTTGGTAATAAATTTAAGACTAATTAGGTAATGAAAGTACGTAACTGATGGCGCTTCCAACGCTCTTAAGCTGTCTGTTCTTAAAATTTAGCCGTCATCGTTGTAAATAAATTTTTATGCAGATCAAAAGGAATAAATGTACTTGTAGCGTATATACCCTTTGCCAACATCTGAAATCTAACGAGCATGTAAATCACGCACCAGCACATTGGCAAACAGCCACACACACACACACACACACAAACATGCATACACACAGGCAGAGATATACACACACGTCACAGCACGGATATATATGTATATACAAGAGTCGAGTCGAGGCATAAATCACAATTTCTTAGCCATTAAGACGAAACCGCAAAGATTTGCGGCACTTCTAAAGTTGATGATGAAGCAAAACCGTCAGGACTTTAGTCCCTAACCACCAGGGGCCTTGGATTCGAATATGCTGGGGTACGAGTACGACTGTGGCAACGAGGCCAAAGAATGCAAAATCCCGAGCACTGCCACAAACTGAAAAGTTTCACAGAATGAACTAATATTAAACAAAAAAATAACATGTGTTCGCAATATAATTTAAAAAATTCCAATCATTTTATCTGCAATTAAAACCTAATATGTTAACTGAGTATTATTATTACTAAGTTATTATTAGCCACTAAATTGATTTAAATTTAAACGCGGATACGAACACCTCACTCAAGAATCCGCTAAATATTCCAAGCTCACATCAATTACCTTAGCTATAAGTTAATCTTTGAATTTGAGGCAAAACCATAAATTGTTTGCAGTGTAAAGCGCAAAGACATGGCTCAACAATTTCTTGCTTGTTGCTAACAGGACAAGAGCCGTCACGACATTTTGAAGAAGCCAACAACAATTTTTGGCACTCGCGGCCTTAGATACATTTGTATAAGCGACCGCAGCTGAGGAGTTTAATAATGCTCCTGGTTGGGCTTTTCATGCAAGTATATATGTAAAAATGTATAAATATGTTGGTGTGTTTGGTTATATTTGTGCATTAGTAGTACATATGTAACAATCTCCTCATGGTATGGGAGTCATGGTTAGTTGGTAATGTGCGGCAAATGTTTTAAATCAAATGTCGAATTAGCTACTTTACGAGCCACTGAAGTTTTTGGCAGCATATCCGTTGTAGCTTAAAGTACGGCGTGGCATTTTCTTGGTATGTGGCAGCTTTAATTTCCTTTCACTTTACCAAATAGCCGCAAATAAATTCCGGCTACATTCTTTGGAAGCGTGAGACAAGAGCAACCAGTAAATTACATTTGCACGACGCTCCTCCGACCCGCTAACAAATTGCTTGTGTTGGTCGAGTATCTGAGTTGGTGGCCTAAAAGTAGGCAGCAGTTGCTCGTAGGCACCTAGCTACCTGCTATTTTCTTCACTTTATTTCACACTTTGCCCCAAACCGAACACATAAGGTTTGTCCATTTTATCTTGTTGCCCCCAAAAACTGTAACATCGAGTGAAAAACTTTTCTCAGCTGTTTGGGCTTTTGCTTTTGCTTTTGCTTTTAGATTGCCTACTTAGTCACTTACCAGCGACCCAGTTACACTTTCTAGCACTTTATGCCACCTGGACATGATTGTGAGTGTATGCGTGTGTGGGTGTGAAAGTGCCTCTCTCTCTCTCTCACTGTCTCTCTCTCTCTCTCTCTCTCTCTCTGCATGCCTGGCGTATGTGAAGTAATTCAACTATTACGGCTGCATTTGTTGCTGCCAGGCTGACAACAAGATAAATTAGGCAAAAGTAGTTTGAACAACTAGGCGGCTGCGTTAGGTGGCCCCAAAAACTATGCAATGCGCTGGGACAACAATACATTCTTTTACTACAATATAACTAAAATGACACAGTTATTCTTGTCGTTGCTGAAGTTTAATTTTTGTATGTGAGTTAACAATTTGAAAAATCTTTAAACGATTCAAACTAAACTTCAGCTTACCTACATAATATTTTTTAAGTAAAACTTAATAAATGCAATATCCAACCATTTGAAACAGATTTCAATTAAATATTCATTACAAGAATTATGCGTGAAACTACATTTTTATTTGCATATCTGATGAGAATTCAATTCATATTCAACTTTAAAATATGTACACACTTATAGTTTCATAAAAGCAATAAAATTATAACCAAATGCTGGCCGAATACTTTGGCCAACTTTGCTGGCCATAACTTTTTGCTTGTGGCCAGTGTTTACTCACGCATTCAAAACGGCTTCCGGTGCAATTTAATTTTATTTGAAGTGATTTTACGTTGACTCTAGTTTCTGGTTCACTCTTGTGAATTGGCTCAAAAGGTTTAACTGCATTTGAATATTATTTTACTTTGTTCAAATAGTTTACGTATCGATTTTTTACTCGCTAACTATTTGAGTTACAAAATCTCTTACTTATATTTGTATAACATCGTTGGGGATTTTATAATTTTGTCGTCAAGTGCATTCAAACATACATCCTTGACCTCATAAAGTATATGCTTTATAAACGGCATTCTCTGCCTCAATTTGCTGCAGCTAGAATACAGGTCAAGTTACAAACAAGACTAAGATATCATAATATGAAAGTTTCTTTAACATGTATTTAAACTTCGTGCAAGAGTATTTAAACATCGACCAGCCGAAAACAGCTCTTTTTCTAGACTCTCATTACCGCTCAATTTGAGTTCAATTGTACAAATTGAGTAAACACTTTAGGCCTATTATTTTCACAAGCTTACATTTAATTTACAGCTACGTCTTGAAAGGTCTTTTATGTAATGAATTATTTATTTAGATATTCGGTACGTGACAAAATTCCGACGTAGTCAAAACTGTATAGATAGTTGAGCGCATTTAGCATGTTGCCCATTTTTAGTTGACTATTTCTTACCGCTTAAGGCAACTGCAGGTCGAAGCTTATTATCCATGTAATAATAACACCGTTTGCTGTTATTTGCTGTGCCACTTTGTTGCACAGGTAAGAATAATTTTCAGAAATTATATATGACCACTTAAGTTGTCATTAACGTTAACGACCTGCCAAAAATATAAAATAAAAAGAAAGGAGAAAAAGAGCCACAAGAAAACTAGGCATGTTGAGGGCATTATGAAATGCTTAACAGCCTGGCTAAGTGGCCAGCCAGCCAGCTTGTGAATTTTTCGGCGGCCTCCAGTCGGCGGATTTGGTAGTGCTTCAAGTACTTGGGTAATCCAAAATTAATGGCCTGTCAGTCATGGCAACCACGCCACAGCCAACAGCCAACATCCAACAGCCACGTGTTTGGCCTTTTGGCGCCTGTTTTGGCCTGCTGCAATTTCGCCTCATTTCGGTTGCAGCTTGGCCACTTACAACTGCAAGTTCTGCTACATCCTGTCTTTGTGTAAATTTCCGCTTCCTTTTGGAAAGTGTTCGCTGGCTGCCAGAATCCAACCAGTCCGTGCCGAGACCTATAGTCGCTTAATCGAAAACGTATGAATGTAACACAGGCCGAGGACCTGGCCCAAGCCAGCATTCCGTTCCAAATGTCGAAGTGAACCGGACAGGCAGCTCCAGCCAAAGCCGCAACACTCACTGCACTTAAGCCCTTTTCATATTGCTCTTGCTGTTTTCTTGTTCGCCCATCGGGTGCGGACTTGAAGCGGGGCAGCCGCCGTCAAGTTATTACAAGCACCAAAAAAAATATTTTCACTCAAGTAGCTGCCACCATTTTGCTCAATTTATTTCAACATGAAGGTTTTTTTTAATTTCGCACACAATTTCTGTGCAATATTTTGGAATGTGTGGTCTCTTTGGTGCTCTTTTCAATTTTACTCCTCAAATAAAGCCCTTTTGAGCAGCAAAAATATTTACAGAGCCAACAAATTATTTTCTTCGTGTTCTCGTCCTTAATTGAAAACAACTTCGATATCTCATCTTTGGCAAGTATTAATAAAATTTAATTTTTAATTCAATTCAATTGTCAGTTTGCTGAATAAATTTAATTTTGTCATATTTTCAATGAATCCATAATTGCAATTTGTTGCACAATAATTTGATATTTGTTTGAATTTTTCATCCATATTTTTAAAGTCATTTATTTTTTGAATAGCACTTGTTATTCTTTGAATGAGTTAATAAAATTATTAAAATTTTGTTTAAATGGATGCATGACATAACTTTTTAGCAATGCGTATTAAGACATTGAAAATGTTCATTGATCATGTTTTATTCATATCAAAACTTACTCCAATTATCTTACTATGGGGTATATTATATTCGCGCAAGGAATTAATTTACATTTCATTTTGCAGAAATCGAATGATTCAATATGTGTGGTCAAAGTGAAGCAATCGTGTGCATTTTGGCATTTAACAATGACTGAAACTGAATTCATTTTACTTATTGAAATGCCTTATTTCACAAATTCAATTGGACTTTGTATACAACTGTTTCAACATTTTAGTAAAAAAGTGCATGCATTTCAATTTCTGATGACTGTGGGAAAATACATACAATTTATGGCAATATATTGTTTCTAATAAATTGTTATTACTAGTGAAAATAAATCAAATAAATGACAATTTTCCTGCCTATCTGTTGTTTAAAGTAATTTTGGTAAAACTAAGAAAATATATATAAACTTCTGGTTTTGCTGTAAATATCCGACGATTCCTGATCACATGACTCCAGCAACAATCGCAAATGAGGTCTTGCAAAGGCAACTTTTACTTTCCCAAGTTATCCGGGCCAATATTTGAAAAACAAGTAATCAAAATCGATATACTGGAACAATGCGTCGATTTGCTTATTTGAAGTGAAATTTAGATGTAGGTCGGTTGACTTCGGCGTACAAGAGAGTGTATTATTCTTCTTTAACCATTTTCTAATACTCAATAAATTTCATATGACCAAAACATATATTACTTTCTTCAAAACTCAAATGCTGCTGAAAGTGTTTAAACGAATAATATATAAATAAATAATAAACTCATTTCTTAGGGCAGGCACAGGCGAACATTTTAATTCACAAGCCCAAACTGACCCGAATTGGCTGACGGCATAAGGCATAGATATATGGAGTATACTTGTGTAGTGTATATACTGTGTATGGAAGATGAAAATTCAGCTTACTTGGCTCGTCGAATAATATTTATTGATAAGTGGTGATAAGAACGTTTGTCTATATGCCATATTTCGATAAATAAAATCACATAGTAAGCATTTACATAACTTAAAAATGAATCAAATTAATTACAATTTTAAAGAGAATCATTGTCAACT